AGAGAGAGAGAGAGAGAGAGAGAGAGAGAGAGAGAGAGAGAGAGAGAATGAATAAGTTTACTTTGGATAAATGCCCGTCTCCATCTTATTTATGTAGTGGCCCCTGAGAGGCCCTCGGTGCTCTCTGAAGTTGGTTATTTTCTTGCGGACGTTTCATTACCCAACTAGATAACATTATCAGTGCATCAGTGACCCCCTAATAAATAATGATGACTTACCTAGTCAGGTAATGAAATGTCTGCATTAAAACAACCAACCTCAGAGTTTGGATGCCCCTTTTCAATCCTGAGCTACAAATATTCTCCTTGATAGGTACTGGTCCCTTGTTATCCAGTTTCTTTTCAATGCTTAACGTTTTTAATCTTTTTATTGCTTTATCACGCTGTGAGCCTCCCAGAGTTGCTTGACAGTGAGATGGACTGCATATAATCTATCTGATAAATAAAAATGCACCAGTGTTATTTGTAATGAGCCTGGTCGTCAGAGAGCTTTGAAAGAGTATGGACCGCCATTACATTTGAATCCATGTTTGTTAAGTTTACACCCCACTTTTGCTACAAGTGGCATATACTCTCTCCTACTATGGGTAGTCCTTGACTTACAACCATTTATTTAGAAACCATTTGAAGTTCCAATAGCACTGAAAAAAAAAAAGACTTGCAACTGGGCCTCATATAATAGTCACAGCATCCTCGCAGTCACAAGATCAGAATTCCCACGCATGGCAACCAGGAGAGAAGAAAAACAGTCAGAGAAGCTGATTCTACTTTATTGTAAAGCCTTTATTAACAGCGCCATGTAGAGGCAGTCCTTGACTCACGACCACAATTGAGCCTAAAATGGGTTGCTAAGCAAAACAGTTGTTAAATGAGTTTTGCCCCATTTTACCTTTCTTGTCGTAGTTGTTAAGTGGATCACTACAGTTATTAAGTTAGTAATATGGTTGTTAAGTGAATCTGGCTTCCCCATTGCTTCTGCTTGTCAGGAAGCTGCAAAAGGTGATCACGTGACCTGAAGACACCGCAACCATCATAAATACATGACAGTTGCCAAGCCATCAAATTTTGATCATGTGACCATGGGGAGGGATCTGCAATGGTCATAAGTGTGAAAAAAGGTCACAAGTCACTTTTTTCAGTGCTGTTGTAACTTTGAATAGTCACTAAATGAACAGTTGTAACTTGAGGACTACTTGCATCTTGCTGTCGCCATTACAGCATGAGAAACTAGGGAAGGTTTCTTCTGAGCCACTTTCTCTACTCATTATGCAGCCTGGGGCCATGTTGCCTTCTATCTGACCATTCCTGCAATGGCGAATCTGTGGCACCCAGAGCAATTTGTGCAGGCACGCAAGCCCCAAGCAAACTTACCTGAGCATGTGCGCGCCTCACAGCTGATTTTCGGGCCTTTTACGGCCTGCCAAAGGCTTGAGGGAAGCCTCTGCAGGCCAAAAATTAGGCCCATTTTGTCACTTCCTGTATTTCCAGAAATACCAGAAGTGATGAAATGGGCCCATTTTTTGGCCTGCAAAGCTTCCAGAGGCTATCCCTGAGTCTCTGGCAGGCTGAAAAAGGCCTCAAACTGGCCGAAAATCAGCTGAGAGGTGCAGTGCAGGCAAGGGAGCATGTGGAATCGCGTGCGCACATACAGGAGATGTGAGGGGGGGCATTGCCTTCAGGGTGCTGGCACGCGAGCGCACTAGTGCAAACGCGCACACAATTTTTGGCACAGGAGCCCAGAAAGGTTAGCCACCAATGCACCATCTCTTTGCTGGTCCCCTAACACACCCATCTTTAAACGAAAATATGCTGCTAGCAGGTCTACTTTTAGCAGCCACAGATGCGAGAGTGAAGTTGTGTCTTCTCTCCTCATCTTCCACTGCAGCCCTTTCTCGGTTGTAGCAGTGCAGCTGGCATGGGCTGCAGGATAAACAGGTGTTTGGCCCTTCCCTGGAGCTTCAGTTGCTGCCTTGTAATCCCACTGGATCCCAAGAATAATTATGCGCACTCCTATTAAACATCTTGTTTCAAAGGCTAGGCTTGCCTCTGATTGTCTCTGACAGGCCATCCAGAGTTACCAAGTGGTAAGATAGGTGGCCAGTGAATTTAATGAAATAAAATAAAACAAAAAGTAAAACAAAATAATAAAAAATAAATAAAATAAAATAAAAGGTGGGAATTCTGGGAGTTGAAGTCCGCCAAGCGTAAAGTTGCCAAGGTTGGAGACCCCTGCTCTAGAGTGTGGCTGAACCCTATCCATCTGGGCATGACTGGGGGGCAGAAACTTCCAGCTTCTGTTCTTGGCACCTGCCTTGTCTAGAACCCACTGGGCTAATCCAGAAGAGGAGATGACTGAGGAGATTTTATTTCTATCTCGAAACTTCTACAGAGTGGTCATGCTAAAAATAGAGATTTATTTGTTTTGCTCCAGAGGACAGTACTAGGATCAGAGGACAAAGACAGCAGGAAAACAGGTTTTGCATTGAATCATCTTAAGGGTAAACATAATTTGGTAAGAAAAGGTGAGTTTTTCTTCTCTTGAGGTGCTTAGGCAACAGCATACAGATAGTCCTTGACCTATGATCACAGTTGAGATACAATTGAGTCATTTGTTGAGTGAATTTTGCTGTTATGACCGTTTTTGCCACACTTGTTAAATGAATCACTGCAATTCTTAAGTTAGTAACATTCTGTGGGCACATTTTTGCCAATTTTGGGGCTTTGGGCTTATTTCCAGCAAAAAATACCGGTAAGAATACATTGATTTGCCTAACATCAGAGTTAGGTTCAGCTAGAGGTTATTGTTATTGTTCACTTAATGACCACCACACTCATTTAATGACCACAGCAAAAAAAAAATCATGTCCAGTCATGTAAGTGCCTTGACTTATGTCACTTATGACTTAACGGCGGAAATTCCAGGCTCTATTACAATCATAAATTAGGATAGCTTTATGTGTTTATGCTGCCGTCGATGCTTTGTGAGCACGTTGGGCAGGGTGAATTAGTTTATAGAAAAGGCTAGCTTGATGTATAACTCCCAAGAGCCGAGAACTTATTAGACTATTGGAACCTAGGTTTGAACTGAGTCTGGAAACAAACTGGAAACCAAGGAAACTGAAATAAAAACTGGATGGGGAAAAGAAGGAAGAGACAGCACTCTGCAGCAGGGTGTTTATCCAGGCCATTGAAGCAGCAGAAAATGGAAGATTATATTGCAAACAGACAGTCTGTTCCAGTGAGTAACTCATTCACAGGCACCTTGTCAGACAAACTTAATTTATGTGATTCATTGGAATGGACTTACAAAACCGAATTGGAAGATAAGCAGTGTGTAGAGTTGTCCTCCTCTCCTTCTCGGAGGGTGGCTCCTGTTCTTGGAGCCCGGCAGCAGCCTTCTCTGCTCAGGGGAGAGAGGTAACAAATTTAAAGAAGGAAAATGTGGCAGTCTTCCTCTCTAGATAATGTTTGCTTACAGCTCAAACACATCACCTATGGACAGATACAACCCACACAATCCCTTTGGGCTCCTCAGTCATTTTTAGACTGTAAAGAGGTACCAAGACGTTTGAGAACTGCAGTTTTTAGTATACTCCTTGACAAAAACACAACACATCAAATTTAAGAAGCTTCTACACAAGCTCCCTTTGTCTCAGCTTTTCCATTCTAAGAATCAGGGTTAAAACAAATAACTGATTTCCCTTCTTTTGTGCGCATCCAATTTTATTTTCCGCCACCTCTCTTTTCTCTTTCCAACTTTTGGTTTGTCCTTTTGTACTATACATATATACATATACAGTACACACATATCTAATTTTATATATATAATACACCTCCCTTTTTTACGTCCTTGCAATCTCTTAATTTGAACTTCCCATGCATGTATATACAGCGGTCCCCAAAGTTGGCAACTTTAAGACTTTTGTGGACTTCAACTCCCAGAATTCTCCGAAGCTGCCAACTTTGGGGACCCCCTGCATTACAACCACCCTTCTCCATTGACAAACACGGTGTAAATTACAAACTCCTCCGGTGCCCTTTCGGAACCCACCTGCACGCCAATGCTGTGGCGTCCTTGAGGAGAACTTCGCCAAAGCCGGGACCAGGGATCCAGTCGGTCACGTTTCCTACGAGGTATTTCCCTCCGCGTTATCCTGCGGACTTTTCCCCACCGCAGATTCGGCGCACCAACCGAGAGGAAGGTGGGGGGAGGCGGAAAAAATCGCTTTTTTTTAAAGACAGCAAGGTGATCGGATACTCCAGGTGGCCTCTGCCGGTGGGGCAGGTCAACGGCTGAGTCAATCCTAAATAAACTAAAAAAAAATGCAATTCCTGGCGGCTCCGGGGCTGCCTAACCTAGCTCTTCTTCCCCGCCCACGAAGTCTTCTCTCCGGGCGTCTGAAAGCCACCTTCGGACTCACCTGCTTCCCCTTTCCAGCTGCTCCCTTTGCAGAAATAGGCGCCGGTTTCTGGCTCTCCCAAGCAAAACAAGCGTCCGATTGGATCCGGAAGCCGCCAACTCCCCGCCCCCGGATATCTCGCCTCTGCAAGGGCCGGTTGGCCTGGAGAAGGAGAAGGGAAGCAAAGTGGGCGGAAGACGGTGCGGCTCCTCTTTCATCGCCGCAGCCGGTGCAGCCGGCTTGGAGAGGGCGAGATGCTCCGGTGGGGGGTGGCGGTGGGGGGATGGATGCGGGTAGCGCCTTCCTTTGGGTTGGGCGGCCTCTAGTGGCCGCGGGGGTGCAAATGTCAGGGGCCAAATTTGGGTTGGGCGACCTCTAGTGGCTGCGGGGGCAAATGTCAGGTGGCCAAACTTGGGTTGGGCGACAGTCAGGTGGCCAAACTTGGGTTGGGCGACCTCTAGTGGCCGCGGGAAGCAAATGTCAGGTGGCCAAACTTGGGTTGGGCGACCTCTAGTGGCCGCGGGGCAAATGTCAGGGGGCCAAACGGGTTGGGCGGCCTCTAGTGGCCGCGGGGGCAAATGTCAGGTGGCCAAACTTGGCTGAGGTTTAGCAGTAGGTTCTATAACAGAATAGGAAGGGACCTTGGAGGTCTTCTAGTCCAACCCCCTGCTCAAGGAGGAGACCCCATGAGACCCTATTTCTCTGCTAATAAAGTACACATGACCTGGAAAAAAAAAAATCTGTGGAGGAACTATTGAACGATTAGTTAAACAAGAAAGGGCTTAATTAAACCAATGTGCCTCTGAAGGAGGGAATACAAATTATAAAACACACTTACAGTTAAAATGCTTTTAGCAGTAAAGTCTATCCTTAAACACTGCCCCTTCCCAGGAAATATCTGGGTCATTTGGCATTAAAAAAAATCTAGTTCCATAAGATTTGAGTTGATCACCCAGTTTGAGAAAGTCTAGGATCAAATTCACGTGATTAAAAAACAAAATAGGAAACCACTGTTTTATTGGGATCCGTAGGATTTTATCTGTTTTTGCAGAGGCAGCATGAGTGCCTATTTAGATGAATGTATATTTTAAAGGCCCAGACAGAAGAACATGGCAGCTGCGGTGTGGAATGTGACAATAAATAAAATAAGATATGATATACAATAGAATACGATATATATAGCATGGTATATTATACCATATAATAATGTACTATATAACACAATACATCATACACCACATATCATATCATATATCATAGGAAAGTATGAGTGCAATGTATTAAATGCCTTTTAAAAATCACTGTTTTGCTGCTTTCCCAAGAGAAGCATCCCAGCCCAGCAACTGAGTCTGGAAGAAAAGATTTCTCCACAGACCTGCTCTGTGATTGGTCCACTTGGAAGCTAGTGGAAGTAGGAATGGAACGAATTGGAGGAGCCGCCTTTGTTATCCGGTTGCCTAGGGCAACAGGTAGTATACATGCTCCAGTGTCTCGCCTAGAGGAAGCCCTGGGAACCAGGTAAGCAATTGGCAACAGGGAGGGGGCCTTTTCCAGATAAATCTGTCCATGCAGAGATGTCGAGCATATTGTCCACAGCTGCAGTCTTAAGATGGGTGGGCAACCTACAGCCCACCCAAGGCAGCCCCCAAGGTCCTTTTCTGCAGAGCTTGCAAGACCCTTCTGACATAAATGTGACCCAAATATTTAAACAAAATATTTAAACAAAAACAATCACAGTTATCTCAGAAAATCTGTTGGACTTTGTCTCTGCTCCATTGTTGCCTTTACAACTCAGGCTCCAAGTTTGGTCTGGAACTGATAAAAAAATGTAATCCCTGAATTTGGGAGAGAGATTAACTTTGCGAAGGTGGCTTCTTTTTATTTTTCCCCTCCTGAAAACAAAGAGTAACGAATCTTTCAGGCAAAGCGAAAAGCTTTATTAAGGTGAGGGGGTGTCAAGTCTTTTTTATAGAGTACAGAAACAAACGACACAGGTCTTTATTTATTACATTTATATGCTGTCCATCTCACTCTCAGATGACTGGGTGGTTTACAACATTGTAAAAGCAAAAACAAAAACATTAAAAAGTGAAATATTAAAAATAATAAAAATTAAGTACATTAGATCCATTCATTATATGTGCAGCTTCTGAAAGCAATAAGTTGAACAATCAGAGACATTAATCAGATGTGAGAATTGGACAGTAGAAAACGTTGATCTTAAATAACGTTGCACAATTGGCAAATTTGTGGATTATGTCGTGCCCTTTCTAGTTGAGCTTGTATCTTCCTTAATACTTGCAAGTGTATTCAAACTTTCAAAGACTTCCAAAATATGCTCCCTTTTATTTAGTTGCTAAAAAGGCAAGTTATTGCATACCAAAAGAAGAAATGGCTTTGACTAAAAAGAAAACATGGTTTCCTGAACTTTAAAAAGAGGCAGTGATGCCAAGCTAAAATGCTAATATCTCCTTTATTAAAAAGCCAATAATGAAGTCTAAAATTCCAGGTAACACCATCTTTAGCCAAACAAAATCAAAGGAAGGTATATTGAAAAGTAGCCCCTCAGCTGCAGCCTTCACTCCTTTATTTGCCAAGAAAGGTAAATTAATAATATATTTTAGAAATGGGTCTCAAAAACAAAGGATTGTCCAGGATTATCCAGTGCAAGGAAAGCATCTCTGAACGATTTTACTGATGTGCTCATTCAGTTTTCTTAACTATAATTTCAAAGTTTGTTGTCACCAAGGTATTTTTTGGTTTGCAATCTGGCCCACAGGGGGGAGACTTCTGAGTGGGCTCCCATCCAAGAACTGACCAAGCCCAGTCCTGCTTAGCTTTGGACTGCAGGCAACCTGGCTGGGGAATTCTGGGATTTGAAGTGCACACATCTAAGATTACCAAGGTTGAGAAATACTGAAATAGAATGAAGCAGGAAGGGAATCTTTGTAGATGGTGCCACCATCCAGACTGAAAATACATGCTGCCATTGATGCATTGTCTTAGTTTTGTCCAACAAAGTTGGCAAAATGGACGATTTCCAAATAGCAAGCAGGTATCTCCCCCCACATGGGCAAGAACTGGGCCAGTTAAATGCTTCTGTGCTTCTCGAGGCTATAAAATGCTCCCTTTCTGACTTTTCCTAGTTGTGATAATGTGATGTGTGTGCTCAGTTTTTAGAAGCATGATGATGGAGTGAAGAAGGATCCACTTACCAAGTTTGCAATAATTGTCTGTCATAGAGACCAACTTTGACATGAAGTCGTTGTCTCAGACCTTCCCAATCCCAACTAAATCTTCTGCTAATCGGAATCTGACTCCTGACAACACAGAAAGAGGTAAGACATGGAATTTAAATGCTGTGCTGGTAGAAGCCAGACCAGAGTGTGGGGGAGTTTTGGAAATAGCTTAATTCATTGCACCAAGATTATGTCTGCCCTAACAAAAAATTTATACTACCTGAAGAAAAGCAGAATAGCATAAGTTACATTTCTATTATAGTGATGCAGGGATGGATTCAAATTTCTTAACAACCAGTTCTGTGGGTGTGGCCTAATTTGTGGGTGCGGCTTGGTGGTCATTGGACTGGCTGGGCCTGGCTTGTATGTAAAAATTATAAATATTTATGTAAATATTGATTTTTTTATTGAAAAAAGAGCAACTTTTACCCAAAATGAGGCAAAGCAGGCAGGCAGATTGAGTTGCTCACAGAATCACAGATTCATTCAGAGATCTATCCTTCTGCAGTCGGCTACCTGAGTCTGCACTGAAAAATAGAAGCTTCAGTCCTAAGGAAGGTTCAGCTCTGCTTTTAGATTAGCTAGAAAGCAAGATACCCAAGGATTTCCTGTTTTCTAGCTAATCCAAATCTCCCGCCACAGCAGAACAGTTGATGGTCAGGAAAAGAAAAAAAAAGGAAAAATAGCAACTTAGCAGGCACGTTTGATGGCGTGCATGCCAGGTAAGGAGTGAGTGGGCGGGGTGGGGCCAGCCAGTGGCGCGATTTGCCAGTTCTCCGGCAGGTAGAATCTCACCCCTGTGAGAGTGCATTTTGCATGTATGTATAGAGCATTTCCAAAACACCTCAGCTGTGCTGCCCGGGCAGCTGATAAGCGCTGCGTGGGGGTGCGCAACATTTCAAACTTCTCTTCTTTCCTGCTTTTTCAACCTCAGCTGTGCCGCTCAAAGCAGCTGAGGTTGAAAAAACAGGAAATAAAGGACAGGTGAGAGCCCAGGCAGGTGGCTGGGCCAAACAGAGCAGCAGACACTGAACCAGTTTGGTGTCTGCTGCTCTTCAGAGCTATCGGTTCAATAGAACCAGGCCGAACCAGTAGCATCCCACTTCTGCAGTAATGTGATGTTAGTGCAGGGAATCCTTGATTAAGACCACACGTTTAGCGACCGTTCAAAGTTAAATGCCGTTGAAAAAAGGGATAACCAATCCTTTTAAATCATTTCCCCCCTTTTTATTAGTTTTTAATATAAAATAAAAAAATACAAAGGCAAATAATAGGAAAAATAGGGGAGGGAAAAGGTAAGTGGAAAGTGTAGAAAAAAAAAGAGAAAAAGAAGGAAAAGACATTCTGATTCTCTTTGTTTGCAGTAGAATAAAATAGTAATATAAAGATTCAACTTTTTACTTTTACATAGTAGTATAAACTAGCCATTTATGTAACGACAAATCTAATCGGTAAAACCCAAAATTAAAGTTACATTTTTTTCCACTTCAAGCACAAAGTCCAGAAGCAGTTTCCAAATAGAAACAAAAGTAATTGGTTTTTTTTTATATTAAAGTCATTGTAACTTTGAACAGTCACTGAACGAATAATTGTACGTCAAGGACTACCTGTAGGCAGGTATCCTGAAGCACTGCAGTTCCTTAACAGTGCTGAAAATGAACATTCATCTGCTCATAGCTGAGCAGAAATTTGAACCTGAGTTTGCTCGATCCTCACCTGATGCTCATTGATTTTCTTTCCTAGATACACCCTATTCTTCCATCCCTCTCAAATACTATGCCAAAGTGATTTCCAACACCGAAAAGATAGGCTTCAATTCTCAGGCAAAGAGATTTCAATATGCTGAGGTAAGAGATGTTCTGTTTCATTTTCCTGACTTATGCCCATCTCTTTGAGTTTGGAAATTATTTACCAAGAGACATATTAGGGAATATAACCTGGTTTCCTGGCTATGTAGCTGAGGGTTGCCATGTTGTATCGTTGGTGTTCTAGGAGCCTGAACAAAACTCTTGCGCTGTAGAGTTTTCATTATTTTAGTACATGGGTTTCCAACATTGGCAAATTGAAGACTTCTGGACTTCAACTCCCAGAATTCCCTAGTCAACCAATCATGGCTGGCTGGGGAATTCTGAGAGTTGAAATCTACAGATTTTAAAGTTACCAACGTTGGTACCCTTCCTCTAGCAGGTAACTCCATCAGACCAAGAGTTGGTTGGTTGGTTGATTGGTTGACATATTTCAATGTGATGGTTCTATAAGCAGTGTTGTTTTGGGGCAGAAAGTCTTGCAGTCGGGGAATTATTTATTTGGCAGATGAAGTGGTGATTCTTGCTTAGATATTGGTTGCTTCCTGTGTGAAATTGCTGTTGCAAGTATGGAATGGGCAGCAAATTGGGAACGTAAAGTTCTTTTCCAGTGCTCATTGAACTTCCTATTGGTGAACAGTTGGTGATTTACTGTTAGTTGATAAGTATATGTTCTCTTTAAGGTAAGTCATGGTTAACTGCTGTGCAATGCTGGAGGGAAATGATGCTGTGTATTGTTGCAGTGTTTCTCAACCTTGGCAACTTTGAGATGTGTGGACTTCAACACCCAAAATTCCCCAGTCAGTATAGGAATTCTGGGAGCTGAAATATATCAGACAGACAAATAATCAGAGTTGGAAGGACCTTATAAGTCATCTAGTCCAACCCGCTGCCCAAGCGGGAGACCCTACACCATTTCTGACAAATGGCAATCCAATCTCTTCTTGAAAGTCTCAAGTGATGAAGCTGCTACAACTTCTGAAGGCAACTTCTGCTCCATTGGTTGATTGTTCTGTCAGAATATGTCTCCTTATTTCCAGGTTCCTTGTTCAGTTTCCATCCATTATTCCTCATTTGGCCTTCAGGTGCCTTGGAAAATAATTTGACCCCCTCCTCTCTGTGGCAGCCCCTCAAACATTGGAAGACTGCTATCATGTCTCCCCTGGTCCTTTTCTTCACTAGACTAGCCAGGTTCTAGTTCCTGTAACCGTTCTTCATATGTTTTAGTCTCCAGTCCCCTAATCATCCTGGTTGCTCTTCTCTGCACTTTTTCTAGAGTCTCAACATCTTTTTTATAATGTGGTGACCAAAACTGGATGCAGTACTCTAGGTGTGGTCTTACTAAGGCTTTATAGAGCGGTGTTAGTACCTCACTTGATCTCACTTGACCTACATGTCTTAAAGTTGCCCAGGTTGGGAAACACTGGTCTGTTGGATCCAGAAGGTACATACAGATCCAAAAATCAGCCACGTAACAACTCAAGGCCTTTAATACAACAGAACAGAATAACAGAATTAGAAGGGACTTTGAAGGTCTTCTAGTCCAACCCCCTGCTCAAGCAGGGCACCTATACAATTTCAGACAAATGGCTGTCCAACCTCTAGTGACGGAGCCCCCAAAACTTCTATTATAAACAGATCTCCAAATTGGTTTTTATTCTGAATGAATGGTTGTGGTTGACACCAAGAATCCAGAAAACAATTATTTGGAAAAGAAGCTGAGACTGATAGATTATTAAGGCAAGATTTTGGCATTATAATTTTTTCCTTTTGACCAGTAGAGGACAGTAGAGCTTCAGAAAAGAGGAGACCCAAGTGCTTCAAAACTACATTAAATATATTGCTTGTGTGTGACTATGTCTCTATGTGCTATAAAGTGCAGTTTTCCACAATGGTGCATCCCTGAATTAAAGGATGAAAAAAATGTAGTCTTTGCATCATTGCCATCATTTCTCATAAGGATGTGAGAGGAGATTCAAGACATTTTTTTAAGCCTGAATTTTAATGCAAAACCCCGCCACCTTCCTGGAGAACAAACCACCAGCACCCATCGATCTTCGTTCTCTTTCCAGAAGTAAAGGCGTGATGTCTTTCCCCCTGTTCTTTTTTTTAATGTCTGTGCCTATAAAAAGAGGCTATTTTATATTACCTTGCTTTTCACAGATGGAAATATTCTTACTGAGGAAAAGTACTTGCTTTTAATACATGGAATACAAATAAAACCATTGTATTTTGAAGTTATATATTGCCAGCTACCAAGGTCTCTAGGAGGTTGCCATAAAAAGCTACAAACCAGTTAAGATCAAGAAAAAAAGAGAAATGGATAAAAATAATTGCTCAGTAACTAAAATCTATTTGGTCTAGTGGTTAAGCCACCAAACTAAAAGCCTGAAAACTGTGAGTTCTAGTCCCGTCGTAGGCATGAAAGCCAGCTGGGTGAGTTTGGGCCAGACCCCTGCTCTCAACCCAGCCCACTTCACAGGGTGGTTGTTGTGGGGAAAATGGGAGAAGGAAGGAGTATTAGATATTTTTCCCACCTTGAGTTATTTGTACAAGTAATGAAGGTAGGATAAAAAATATATATTTAAAAGCTCCAAACCTTGAGATCTCCTAAGAGGGAAAGGCAAGGATATTAGTAGATATTAGACAACATTTTGATCAGTTGACCACAAGCAGGCAAAACAGCAGCATGAGCAGGAGTGGCCACTGACTTCCTGATGGCTTCCCCATTGACTTTGCTCAAGGGAAGCGGTCAGGGAGTATCAGCTCTCCCAGGGAAACTGGACGACAGGAAACAGATGAACTAAATGTACAGTAGTATAATTAGACTACAGAATCTTGCAAGTCTGAGTTTACAAACTTCCTGCCACCATCATTAACCATCTGATCCATTAGGGTAGGTGGATCCTTCCTAAGTTTCTTCCTTTGACCATTAAGCCACTGGGGGCTCCTCCCTCTCTCAGCATTGTTTCCTAGGTAGCATTTCTCCTCCTGGGCCCTTGAGGTCATTTCTATACAGAGAGCATTGGAAATCATCATCACATGCCCACAGGGATTGCTGCAACAGCCACAACTTTGCAAATAAAACTGGTCTGAACATTGTGAAAACTTCAGTTCCACTGGGTAATGGGTCCCCAATGTGTTTTTTTATGTTAGTGGATTTAATTAAGATAACTTGACTGAAAATTTGTCCTGGTACAATGTACAATGTGCAATTTGTCACGGTACATGGTACAATGTTTGGGCTATCTTGAGGGTACAAAGAGGCAAACGGTTAAACAGAACGAGAGTTGTAGTAGTATATATTTTACTAGTATGTAGATGTGCTAAAGGAAGTTGCCATGCTTGTTCATTAATCCATGTTCCCCATTTGTTTATTAATGAGATTCTTTATCTTACCTTCCTGATTTCTCTCAGCCGTTTCCATTCATAACCTTTCATTACCGGGCACCTTTAGCATAATTCAGCCCTTACTGTATAAAGATTTCATCTTGCTGACAGAATAAATCTGCTGCCTGATTTTGGTTGCTATCCTTCTGGTTAGTAAAATATATTGTCCTGATTAGTGATGCCAAGAATATCTCAAATATGCTGAACGACTGATGAATAGGCAAGGAAGCACCTCCCAGAAAACTTACCAATGATTGATCAAGTCTGATCAAGTCACATGACCATGCATGCCCTAAGGCAGGGGTGTCCAACCTTGGCAACTTTAAGACTTGTGGGCTTCAACTCCCAGAATTCCTCAGCCAGCAAAGCTGGCTGAGCAATTCTGGGAGTTGAAGTCCACAAGTCTTAAAGTTGCCAAGGTTGGACACCCCTGCCCTAAAGTGTTTGTGTATTGGGGGGGTGGGGGGCAAGGGAAGGCACCACAACATTAACTCACCAGGGCTCAGATTTAGATTAAGCAGGAAAGACAAATAACTTCCCAAAATGAAAAGATCTAACCTAAGATTGTTTAAAGCAGAGGTGTCCAACCTTGGCAACTTTAAGACTTGTTGACTTCCTTGACTTCCAAGTGTCCAACCTTGGCAACTTTGAGACCTGTGAGGAATTCTGGGAATTGAAGTCCATAAGTTTTAAGGTTGCCACGGTTGGACACCCCTGCTTTAAAGCGTGAACTAGGAATAGACAAAGTCAGTATCATGTGAACAGGTGTGGCAGAGAACATCAAGACTGCCTTGTGTCCTGGGGTCAGACTTTTCCAGCTTTCAAATAAGCTGGCTGGGGAATTCTGGGTGTTGAAGTCTACCCATTTTTAGGCTGCCAAGAAAAAACAACAACACATATTTTAATGATTGGCCTGGAGAAAGGAGCAGATGGGGAGAACGGTTAGCAAGAATGCCTCTCTCACACCTCCAGTTCTTCAGCCACTGCCAGAGGCCCCACCTGCATTTCCTCCCTCCTTCTCCTCCACCATCAAAAACATGCAGCTTTCCAGCACTTTCCTTCCTCACAATAGCTGGCTGAGGTGCAGTACTCGCCAAGCCAACCACGCAGAGCCAAGGAAAGCATCTCATCTGGATGGACATCTTGGCTGGACAACCAAAGAACCCATGCCTGAGGCTCAGTTCTCAAAGCCCAACAAGCAAGCCGTCTTTGAAAAGCTTGAAATCAGCTCTACAAAGTGCCCCTTTCTCCTCCCAGGAATTTCCTGCTTCATAACACTTGCAGGCAGCGAGCCAAGCCACAAGGAATACAAAGTTTTGGCAGGCTCTCGACTATCCCTAGAGAACATTCGCTTCTTCCCAGGTTTCAGGGAGAGAGAGCAGGTGGCATTCTGACTTTTCTCTAGGGATATATATGCTCGCAAAAAAGTCAGGATGGCAGCGGTGATAATGAAGTTAAACTCCCCCTGTTTTTTAGGATGATGCTTTGCGCACGCACACACACACAAATATCAGGCAGAGCATTGATCTCACCATTGGGGGCGCCATCTTGATTTTTTTATATATATATAGTTTTAACCATTACATGCATTTCCCCTTAAACAACATAGGGACAGTATAGAGGCAGGAACTGCAGGTGGACATCTAACATTTTGGGGGACTTGGAGGCAGGGAGGGAAGGATCATTAGAAAACCACATGAAAGAACAACAAAAACCATATATATATATATATATATATATATATATATATATATATGTGTGTGTGTGTGTGTGTGTGTGTGGCATTCGGCTTTGCTCGGGTATTTTCAGATGAGATTCTGCTGAAACGTCGCTACAACTTTAAAAGCACAACTACTACGATGTGGGAAAATACCCGAGCAAAGCCGAATGCCATACATGTGAGTACCCGCGAAAACTTAAGAAAAAAAAAATATATATATTTATTTACATTCACAAATCATTAAAAAAAATCAAGAGGTTTGATTGCAGGGCTGGCCTGCACAGTTGATGCTGCTCTCTAAACTATTTTTTGACATTCCAGACTGCCCTGGTGAGACCCATGCATTGTGCCAAGTTAGGGATTGGCAGCCTGTGCAACACCAAAAGTCATCAGCCAAAAAATATGCCTTTCAGAGATCTCGCCCTCCGATTCCTATTCTTAAAACCGTGAGAAAACTGGTGATCAGAAGAGGATCTTTTTTCTGGTGATCTGTCGGTCTCCTGTCTCCAGAAAGTTGAAATGAATCATGGCCCAGGCTCATCAAACATTGCCACAATATGATGCATTTTACTTTGATGACCCTGCTTCGAGACCAGTGGTTGCAACGGTGGGATTCAGATTTTTTTAACAACTGGTTCTGTGGGCGTGGCAGGGGGCAGGGCCATGTGACTGGGTGGGCGTGGCTTCTTTTTTTGCAGCACCCCTCCACGTTCCATTTTGAGGCATCCTGGGCCTCAGGGAAACCTCCTGGGCGAAGCAGTAAGACAGCGAGGGGGATTCCAGCACTGATTGTCGGAACAGCTGATCGTCGGGAAGAAAAATAAAAAAGAAATACCTTAAGGAGTGACTGGGTGGGGGAGAATGCAGTCAGCGATGTTGCCCATGCGTGATAAGGACTGACTGGGAGAGGAGGGAGGGGGTTGGGTGGAGAGGGGCAGGGCCAGCCAGGGGTACGTTTTGCCGGTCCTCTGAATTGTGCAGAATCATAACAATTGGTTCTATAGAACCGTCCGAACCAGTAAAATCCCACCTGAGTGGTTCCCAACCTTTTCTATGTGCCACAACCCTAGGAAAGGTTTAATCAATGTTTGCACCCTCTACAAAAGTCATTGTGACTTGTGACTCCTCACTTAGGGACACAAGCCACTCTTCGTTGCTCCCTCCGAAATAGTATCTTGCACTCCAGGTTGGGAACTCCTGTTCTAGACCATGATCTGTGGCTTTCTGAGTGGTGGTTGTTCAACAAACCACGATTAAACCTACCACTGTTCGGTGCAGGCTGTGAACCAGGTCTGAATTCTCTAGATCCCACCTTGGCCAGTGTCACTATTTTGACTGACTGTGTGACATTTTTTGCAAAACCTTTAAGCCCATTTTTGGACGAAGCTCTCTGTGTCATCTGCAGAAGACTGAAAGTGATGTGCAGGACAACCGTCTTGTTTTGCTTTCTTTCTTTCTATAAATAGCAAACCCACCCAGCACTCTTTGAGGAATAAAAGAAATGTCGTTCTGGATGGAAACTGAGTCAGGAGAGGTGTGGCTCCTTAAAATAATACATTCTGCCCACACGCTTAAACAATTCAGGGCAAATCAGATGTCTAGGTGGGATTAAGCATGCAATGGATTTACGCTCCTTGAGTCTCTCTCTAGGGCCATAGCACAGACACTGGAGAAACCTAATCTGCTGCTTGAGGCCTGCTTTGCCGTGTAACTTGAGATATGCTCCATTAAAATGAGATTATTCCGATTCTGAAACAAGCAAAGAAGAACCTACTTAGAGCACGGGGACAATTGACCAGAAATGAAACCACAAGCCAGCAAGATATTGAGTGGCTTATGAAAATGGAAAGGTTATTCCCATTTTGATGCCATTGTGTGTCTCCACCCATGAGGTCAAGCTCATGTCAGGTAAAACCCTCCATGGGGGAAGGCCCATTTCCTTATATTGGCACCAAGGGCACCAAGTAGAACAGAGGGTTCTGTTTAAAGAACTCTTGATGCTTTTTGTCAATTTAGCAAATTGCCCTATTTTAGCATAAACACAAATATGTAAAGTAGCAAAACTGGACCCTGTTTTTTCTTTACAGAAGAGCAAAAAAAATAATTGTTTTGACATAAGGTCATCAATTGTACTAACACTAAAAATAGTCTATTTTTTAATCTGCAGATCAGGTCATTGCTGGCAATATGGCATCTGAGAGCAGACTGCATAGAGAGGATCCCAAAAAGAAATTATTATAAAAAGGATTTTTTTTAAAAAAAATTATAATGGTCAAAATCTTACAAGATCCTCACATCTCACAAAGAGTTTGGTTTTCCCAGGTGACTCTAGTGAGTTTTGAAGAGAGAAGGACAAATCTCCCAAATTTTTAGATTCAGTAATCCTCCAACATTTTGACCTTGTAAAACATTTTTTGTATCTGGACCACTAGCGGACCTTGGAACACATTTAAGGAACCTTTGCTTTACATCAGTCAAGACCATTTCAAGAAATCTAATTATTAAGGAACAAAACATACTCCATGTTCCTTCTGTTAATAGCTATTTGAAGCACACTTTGATCAAGCCCTAATCCTGAGTATGGGCAAGCAGTTTGTTGTGATATCTTCCACAATATGTTTCTTATGTTTCTTCCAGAATGAAAATCCAGGGCCCGGACTTTATAATATCATCCATCAATCAATGCTTCTCGACAATGTCTCCCAGTCTCGGAAAGGAACCTGTTTTTTCCCTTCCATGGTAAGGAAAATAGTTTGTGGAAATGGTATTTATCTGCAGAGGAGAAAGACAGAAATAAGGTGACACTATCACACTTTCTAGCTCACAGTTTTGTTTTCCTGCTGTTTAAAAGCATTGTATTCACTTCCTAACACAGGGGTCCCCAACCTTGGCCACTTTAAGACTTGTGGACTTCAACTCCCAGAAGGCTGAGGAATTCTGGGAGTTGAAGTCCACAAGTCTTAAAGTGGCCAAGGTTGGAGGTCCTTGCACTAACCCACAATCACCAAAACTGGCTGGGGAATTCTGGGAGTTGAAGTCTACAAGTCTTAAAGTTACCAAGTTTGGGGACCTCTGTCCTAAGATAAAACATGCATTCACCCACTGGCAGAGATGGCTATATTTCAGCTAGTCTAGATTCTTAAAAGTAACCTACAAAAGAATTTTTTTTAAAATGTAGAGGAATCAACTTTTTCTAACCCTGATCTTAACCTTAATCCCAATTTATGTATCCTTGCTTGTCCAAAACTGGATCTGCACATCATAGAAAGCTAATATCTGGATTCTTCAGTTTTAAAAATATTTATTTGCAAAAGTATTTATATGCCACGGTGACGCAGTGGTTAGAGTGCAGTACTGCAGGCTACTTCTGCTGCCTGTTGGCTGCCTGCAATTTGGCAGTTCGAATCTCACCAAGGACTCATCCTTCCATCCTTCTGAGATCGGTAAAATGAGGACCTAAATTGTTGGGGGGCAATACGCTGACTCTGTAAACTGCTTAGAGAGGGCTGTAAAAGCACTGTAAAGTGATATATAAGTTTAAGTGCTGTTGCTATTTATTAACCGTGTCTTGTAAACTCTGTAATACAGGGGTGTCAAACTCAAGGTCCACGGGGTGCTTAGATTTAGCCTACAGGGCCACACTGAAAACAGTGAAGGACTGGCCCATAGTGCCTCTGCCACTGAAGACGGAGCTTTGGATGCTGCGATGGCCTCCAACAACCCTCTGCCAGCGAAAACAGAGCTCCAGACAGCCACACACAGCCCTCCCAAGCTCCGTTTTCTCTGGCAGAGTGCTTGGCCACCACAGGTGCCCTTGACACAAATGACATCGAGCTGGCCACACCCACCCTGGCCACGCCCACCCAGCCCCCAAGGTCAAACCCAACCCTGATGCGGCCCTCAATGAAATCGAGCTTGACACCCCTGCTATAATATATCTGAGCTGACATTTAAGCCAGACTCATCTCTTGGACTTCATGTTCTTAACCAACTCGGTATACCAGTTTGTTTAATTCTGGGAAGATGTTAATCACACGATACATTTTAATCCTGACTAATGTTGTGCGAGCTTATATTTATGTCATCACTGAGACAATATGTCCAAATTGTCTCTGGAATGGCAGATAAATACCAGCTGTCATTGCACCGAGCACTGTCCAGGAAAGAGTTGCGATGTGAAAATGATACCATAAATAAATCAACTTGCAGTGACGTTACCACTCCAGGGAGGAGTTTAAGAGGGTTCTCATTGGGATGAAAATTCTTGTTCAGATGGCAACCTCATCATAAAAATGTGAGTGGGGAATCAAAAGGAAATACACTGCTCAAAAAAATAAAGGGAACACTTAAACAACAGAATGTAACTCCAAGTCAATCACACTTCTGTGAAATCAAACTGTCCACTTAGGTAGCAACACTGATTGACAATCAATTTCACATGCTGTTGTGCAAATGGAATAGACAACAGGTGGAAAGCATAGGCAGTTAGCAAGACATCCCCAATAAAGGAGTGGTTCTGCAGGTGGTGACCACAGACCACTTCTCAGTTCCTGTGCTTTCTGGCTGATGGTTTGGTCACTTTTGAATGCTGGCAGTGCTTTCACTCTAGTGGTAGCATGAGACGGAGTCTACAATCCACACAAGTGGCTCAGGTAGGGCAGCTCATCCAGAATGGCACATCAATGCGAGCTGTAGGAAGAAGGTTTGCTGTGTCTGTCAGCGTAGTGTCCAGAGCACAGAGGCGCTACCAGGAGACAGGTCAGTACATCAGGAGATGTGGAGGAGGCCGTAGGAGGGCAACAACCCAGCATCAGGACCGCTACCTCCGCCTTTGTGCAAGGAGGGACAGGAGGAGCACTGCCAGAGCCCTGCAAAATGACCTCCAGCGGGCCACAAATGTGCATGTGGCTGCTCAAACAATCAGAAACAGACGCCATGAGGGTGGTATGAGGGCCCAACGTCCACGGGTGGGGGTTGTGCTTACAGCCCAACACCGTGCAGGATGTTTGGCATTTGCCAGAGAACACCAAGATTGGCAAATTCACCACAGGCGCCCTGTGCTCTTCACAGATGACAGCAGGTTCACACTGAACACATGACAGACATGACAGGGTCTGGAGACGCTGTGGAGAATGTTTTGCTACCTGCAACATCCTCCAGCATGACCGGTTTGGCAGTGGGTCAGTAATGGTGTAGGGTGGCATTTCTTTAGGGGGCCGCACAGCCCTCCATGTGCTCACCAGAGGTAGCCTGACTGCCATTAGGTACCAAGATGTGATCCTCAGACCCCTTGTGAGACCATATGCTGGTGTGGTTGGCCCTGGGTTCCTCCTAATGCAAGACAATGCTAGACCTCATGTGGCTGGAGTGTGTCAGCAGTTCCTGCAAGATGAATGCATTGATGCTATGGACTGGCCCGCCCGTTCCCCAGATCTGAATCCAATTGAGCACATCTGGGACATCATGTCTCTCTCCATCCACCAATGCCACGTTGCACCATAGACTGTCCAGGAGTTGGGGGATACTTTAGTCCAGGTGTGGGAGGAGATCCCTCAGGAGACCATCCACCACCTCATCAGGAGCATGCCCAGGTGTTGTAGGGAGGTCATACAGGCACGTGGAGGCCACACATATTACTGAGCCTCATTTTGACTTGTTTTAAGGACATTACATCAAAGTTGGATCAGCCTGTAGTGTTTTTTTTCCACTTTAATTTTGAGTGTAACTCCAAACCCAGACCTCCATGGGTTGCCAAATTTGATTTCCATTGATAATTTTTGTGTGATTTTGTTGTCGGCACATTCAACTATGTAATGAACAAAGTAGTTAATAAGAATATTTCATTCATTCAGATCTAGGATGTCTTATTTTTGTGTTCCCTTTATTTTTTTGAGCAGTGTATGATACTCCCACACCCCTCCCATGAAAATGAACACAACATTTGCCCTTAGGTTTTCTGGAGATAACACCTTTTGGCACCACATCTCCCGAAATTCTTAGTAAGGTACATAGAACGCAGCACTGTCATGAAAAGATTGCCTTTCCTAGTCTTAGATTTAACTGGCAATGTAGAAAAATCAAGAGATACATAGTCTTATAGAAGAGAGTCTATGACACTCTCTGAATTTGATTGTTTGATCGCAGATGTTTCATTACCTGACCACTTAACATCATCAGTTGGGTAAAGGAATTGTCTGCAAGCACTCAACCAAGTTCAGAGGGCATCAAAGACTCCATAAATGAACTTTTTGGGGTAGGGACAGTGGTAAAGTTGACCCAGTGGTATACCTAAAAATTATTCAGCTTCATTACGACCTTTGCAGGATGTCCGGATTGCTCACCAGAGAATTCCCAACTATCCTGCTTCAAATGCCTATGACATCTCACCTACTCTGCATGCCAAGAAAGACTTCAGCTTGGGCTACTCAAGCATGTTTCATCCACCATTCGCTAGGAAGATTGCCAAGAAGACTGGGCCAGCCCCCAACCAATACAATGTAAGAAATGACCTGTAGCCCCAAAGAGAAGGGAGGTGGAGAGCAGGAGGAAGTCCAATTGGGACTTCAAAGTGTCAAGCACAGGAAATCAGTAGTCCAGGAAGTTCAGATGAATGTATACTGTTTAAATGGAATTACGGCACGCTAAAGCTCTGTATAAGAATCTGAAGTACTAATGGTCGAAGCGAGTGGGCCGTGGATAAGAGTCAATGGGATTCAAAGTGGGCTGGACTTCTGGGTCTCTTGTGGGTGTGAAGGGGCTCTGATGATGCATTGACCCCTCTCTTGGGCTCAGCCTAATCATCTCCTACATCAAGGTTGGAAAGAGGCAAGTTGGGGAAATAATGAAGGAGGATGAAATGGGATTGAAGCTCACCAAGAGAGCTGCTCACTTCTACCTTATGGAAGGCATGGTTTCATTAAAGCAGCGTTTATCAACCCTCTGTCAGAATTCCCCTGACACCATCTTAAAGTTTCTAAGGTTGATAAACACTGCACTGGCACATTTGCATCAAAACCCATTCATTATTACCAATGAGAGGTCGAGACACAGTTGACTTTTCTCAAGAGTGTGAATCAGTGTTAACTCAGCCCAATCTTTCTTAGTTTTCTTGAGGCTAGCCAATGTTGGCTCAGTGATGCCACTTATTGCAGGAGGTAGGAAGTTAATGTACTAACTCACATTTAGAAACAAGCTAATAATTAGGAATAGCATTCTCCAAAACAAAACAAAAAAGCAAAGTGGAACTGCAGGTCTGAAATTGGAATGGGTGGCTCTGTTTTTTTTATGTCAAATACAGTGTAGTGAAGAGCTGAGACATGTGAATTATAGGAAATAGATGTATCAGGCCACAGATAGATCAGTTAAGGCTGATTCCTCCTGGTTTGCAAGGGCCCTACAGGGGTAAATAAAGCAACCAAACTTTCTTCTGGTTTACTCCACATTTTATGCATCACAAAACTCTTGGATTTGGTACATTTGTATTACATCTTCTCTGACCCTGCTCTTTGGTAGCATTTCATCTTGGGAATAAATTTTGCAGACCTTGAAAGCTTAGCCAGTGTTTTTGGTGTTGTGGCTGATCCTAAGAAAAGTCTTGACCAACAGTGGAAGAGAAGAGTGTACAGTACAATATAGTTCAAGAATAGTTTGTGTGAAGTCTTAATGTAGAGGGCATAGGGAATGGCCTTGAAAACAGGAGGAGGACTTGTTACTAAGGCGATGGTCAAATAAGAGGGGCTTGAGCCCAGACCAAGAAAAGCACTTGAGAAAAAAGACAAGTCCCTCTTTAGGTCACATGAAGATAAAAGGAGTTAAGGACAAGCATATTCAGACTTGAAAGGTTCTTTTACTATAGCTGGCCTATAGTCTACTATAGGCCAGCTATAGTCTACTATAGGTCAGCTATAGTCTAACAAAATCTGATCTATATGGCATGGGTTTCATAGTCTGGTCTACCTTGTGTCTTTTACCAGTTACCTAGTGAGAAACATGGAAAGGTGAATGAATAGTGGAATGATACTGAAGTAAACCGCAATTGATCTCGCTGATGAATCTCTCAATTTTTGCCCCATCCCTGCCATTCAACGCTGTCTTATCATCAGCCCACCCTAGTAAAAATATTAACTGAAACCAAATATTATAGAGAATATTTCTCTTGCAAAGAAGAAATCCTCCTTGAGTTAATCACTAACCCGTGATTTACTTTTAGATTTAACTGTACTGCATAACCTTTGGAGAAGCCAAACAGGAAATGATCTAATTAAAAAAAAAATAGGCAAGCACAATAATTTATGGCTGTGGGTGAGGACACCAAACGGGAAGGACTCATATTTGCAGCATGTATTTAAGCAGAGTTCAACCTGAGAAGATAAAGGGGGAGAATTATATTAGAGCTCCAAAGTGGCTGGAAGGTAAAAAAAACAACAGCTAAACTTGAACAACAGAAAAAAAAAGCAAATCAAAACATTTTCTTTGGAGTTTCTCTCTACTGTCTAATTTGTTTGCTTGTTTTTGGGCTTACACACCCATTTTCCTACAGAACTCAAGTCATTAGAATTCTTAGAATAATTCTTAGAATAACAGAGTTGGAAGGGACCTTGGAGATCTTCTAGTCCAACCTCCTGCTCAGGCAGGAAACCTTATATCATTTCAGACAAATGGTTGTCCAATCTCTTCTTAGAAACTTCCAGTGTTGGAACATTCACAAATCCTGGAGGCAAGTTGTTCCATTGATTAATTGTTTTCAATGTCAGGAAATTCCTCCTTAGTTCTAAGTAAGTTGCTTCTCCCCTGGATTAGTTTCCACCCGTTGCTTCTTGTCCTGCCCACAGATGCTTTGGAGAATAGCTTGACTCCCTCTTCTTTGTGGCAACCCCGGAGATAGTGGAACATTGCTATCATCTCACCCCCAGTCCTTCTTTTCAATAAACTAGACATACCCATTTCCAGCAACCTTTCTTTATATATTTTAGCCTCCGGAACCCTAATCATCTTTGTTGCTCTTCTCTGCACTTTTTATCCACTCTTTATTCTTTAGGTAGAATACTCTTTCATTTTTCCTAGCAGAACAATCCTGTAGGGTAGGCTATGCTGAGAAAGATGGCCTGGCCCAAGATCCCTTACCGAACATGCACAGCTGAAGGTGGGTTTAAATCTGGCTTGTGCTTTGGCTGGGAATCTGCCCCTTTTGGGTCACCTCAGCAGATAATGATCAAACAGCATCATCAGGTACTCCAAAAGTCTTAGCTCCCCCTTCCATTTCCCCAGGCCAGCTGCACAGAGAGGAGAGCTGAGGTCCAATCCAGCAGAAGAGCACGGAGCTAATAAAAAGGCTGCTTTGATTGTCTCCAAAGACACTGGTTGATATGAGAGCCCAATGCTATTGATTCCCTTTAGATCCAATCGGCCTTGATCGTATTTTGTTGGCACCTGCAAAGGACCCAGATTAAGCTAGAATTTGTGGGATTGTCTCTGTCTTTTGACAAGTGTAGAAGACGTTACTAGTTTGCACCTAAGCTCTTAGATTACCATAAGACACCAGGTGTGACGGGAGTTGCACTCCAGCAGGGATACTTAGTGCCACATAGAGAAGACTCCTGTGAAGAATCCCTATTCTGAGGTTCTTCATGAGATGGTAATCCAATTCTGATGAATTGGATTACCGTCCCCATCTTTCTAATCTCTGGAGGGCACCAGGTTGGCGAAGGCTTCTCCAGTCTCTGAAGTCCCAATTATGTTATATCAGTCTCCCAATGAACAATGTTTTATTTGGAGGCTAATTTGTTGCCCAAGTCTTTTATGGATTAGAAAGGGTAATTAGTTTCCAGACAAAGAATTCCTTACAAAGTAGATCCAGCAGTTACACCTTTCCCTCAGGGTTGTGCAAAATTCACCATAGGATAATGAGCCCTTAATTTATCTATTTGTACTCACTAAAAAACAGGTGTATGTGAACTGGAGAAAAACACATATTGTAAAAGCTTCAGTTCAGCGGGAATTGTTTCTGCCCTTGACATTTGTTAATATAGACCAGGGGGTCTCCAACCTTGGCAACTTTAAGACTTGTGGACTTCAACTCCCAGAGTTCCTCAGCCAGCTTTGAGTTGAAGTCCACAAGTCTTTAAGTTGCCAAGGTTGGTGTGAGAAAAATCACAAGACACAACTGGAGACAGTAAACAAGAGTTTTATTATTAAGCTTTTGCAAAAGGGAATTCTGCTAATAGCAGAAGACATCTTTCCACAGGAAGGCTCAGGAATATATACAGTATCTGCCCCTTTCCTAGGTTCACAATCTATCCAGCTATGTAAGTCCCTACACCACACCCATGGCATACCACCTGTTTCCCTTTCTTTGGAAACCACCCTTGCTCTCATGGCATCTTCCTGTTATGTTCTTCTGAACATAATGGGTCATTAACCAGTTCCGTTAATGTCAGGACAACCCAGCCTTTCTGACATGAAATCTCAAGCCAAAATATAAACCCCCATTCCAGCCAAAGACATAATACTTTTAACGTTACAGAATAACAAGTTACAAAACATGATATGCTTATATAAGTGTTCAGATATCTTTCTAGAAGGTCACATTACGAACAAAAATGGAGTCTCTTTGGTTCTATATTTTGTTATGTGTAACAGGCAAATACATATGTTATTTCCACATACAACAGTTGGAGATCAGAGGTGGCATTCAGCAGGTTCTGACCAGTTCTGGAGAGCTGGTAGCAGAAATTTTGAGTAGTTCAGAGAACTGGCAAATACCAGCTCTGACTGGAGATTTTACAGTATCCTTCTCCTGCCATGCCCAGCAAGCTAGGCCCACAGAACTAGTAGTAAATTTTTTTGAATCCCACCACTGTTGGAGGCCCCTTGATGTAGACCATGGAGATAATGTAGACCAGAGCTCTCAAACTGCTGGGCCGTGGGCTGGATGCATCAAGTGCTGGCCACGCCCATGCCCGGTTTAGCGAAGGGGAAAACAGTCCTGATATGTCATGTGACGCTGTGAGTTTGACACCCCTGATGTAGACCAAAACAAATTCTTTAAAGTAGTGTTTCTCAACCTTGTCAAACTGAAAATGTGTGGATTTCAGTTCCCAGAATTCCCTAGCCAGCCATTTGCTAGGGAATTCTGGGAGTTGAAGTCCACATATTGTCAAGCTACCAAGATTGAGAAATGCTGCTCTAAAGAATAAAACACAGATAATCGTACTTGATTCTGCACAACTTCATTCCTCCATGTATTTTAATTAAATTGTGGAGTATATCATAGAAAAAAACCGTACAAGAGAGAGTTTTATCCAACAGTGACCAAAGGCCATGCCATAAAAGATGGACCATCGTGTTAGTTAATGAAGTTTATTCTAGACTAATGGTATTTATATATTTTAGCAGACTATTATTTGGCTGATGCGCTTGTAATACTTCAGGCGGAGAAACTGTTTGGGAAGTAGGCAGATTTAATGTCCAATTAAAAAGCAATCTAATGACACCTGAAAGATCAGCTTGTTGCAAAACACAGATTTGCATTTCCAGATTGCAGTGGATTTTTGCAAACAGAACTGCAGTGCCAAGTCTGTCTTCTCATCAAAAACAAAACGGACCATATCATGTAGCAGCAAGGAACGATGGCCTTCTCCGTGTAAGCAAAAATGTGCTTTATTTGTATAATATTCAAAAGGACGACAGAAATAAAATGCATGATGTAAAGAGACCAGTTCATCCTTGCCAAGTCCATAAAAATGCTATGCACAACCAGCCTCGTGTAACAAAATTATTAGTTGTTCACCTGCGCCACATGATTTGCCACTTAGCAATGACCTGGGAAGAAGAAAGGCTGGGGAAAAACAATAAATTTAACAAATAAAATGCTCTACTTTCCTAACATTTTTTCACGTGACTGGGTATAATTCTTAGCTTTCCCTGGACAGTCTGTTATTCAGAAACTGAAATAATTCTTTGAAAGGATGGCAGACTTCCCTCCCCCAATCCAAATGTTTGGCAGATGTAGCCCTAAAAAATCATTTTGCCCAAGAAGCTGGAAGATTTCACTCTTACTACAAATAATGGATGTTTGTTTTCCATTCAAAGGTACCATTTACTGGGGCAAAAACATAGCAACCACTGCTACTTTGACCTATGGGAAAAAGAAGCCAGAACACTTTCTTGGGCAAGAAATGGAAGCAAGGCCAAGAATACAGGCCAGATGTTTCAAACATGCCACTCACTCTTGAGTCCAGCTTCTTTTCCAGCCTCAATTCCATGCTCAGGAAGAGTTTTGAAGAACTCAAAAAGTTCATGTACATCTTAGCATAATTTCTATTGGTCCTAATGAAAAGTACGAGCTAACTCTAAATGCAGGTAGTCCTTGACTTACAACAGTTCATTTAGTGGCCGTTGAAGTTACAATGGCACTGAGAAAAAGTGACCGATTGCTGTTTTTCATACTTAGATGCAAAGTCAACGGGGAAGCCAGATTAGTGTCACAACCTTGTTACTAACTAAATGCTGTGATTCACTTAACAACTGTGGCAAGAAAGGTTGTAAAAATGGGGCAAAGCTCACTTAACAGATGTTTCACTTAAAAGAAATTTTGGGCTCAATTATAGTCATAAGCAGAGATGGTATTCATCAGGTTCTGACCAGTTCCGGAGAACTGGTAGTGGAAATTTTTAATGGTTTGGAATCCCACCTCTGACTGGCCCCGCCCCCATCTATTCTCCACCCCCCAAGTCCCAGCTAATTGGCTGGGTCTTCTTTTGTTGCCCTGTACAGGAGAACGGAGCTGGAAAGCTGGTTAGTGGGGTGGGGAGGGAATGGGGATTTTGCAGTATCCTTCCCCTGCCATGCCCACAAGAACTGGTAGTAAAATTTTTTGAATCCCACCACTGGTCATAAGTCAAGGACTACTTATATTTGTTATTATGGTGCATCACAGAGTCAGCCAGATGTTTAGACTGGACTTGGCATTTCTATCCAACTATCCGTCCTTGCCAAGGGCCTGGGATAGATAGATGTTGTTGATGGTGCTAAAGGCATCGCTGCAAGATGTAAGCTGCTCTATTTTTTTTGCAATTGACTGATGATAATTTTGTCAATGCCAGTGAAGGGGTATCCAGACATTGTGGGATTGCACCAAAAGCACCTATTATCGTTGGTACTATCTTTGCTTCCTTTTTGTGATTGTCATGGCTGCCTATCTCAACTAAACAATTATGGGCAGCTCTCAAAAGGGACTAATACCTTGCTGGGTCATTTGGAAAGCGGGTTTTCCTTATTTTATTTTATTATTTTATTTTATTTTATTTTATTTTATTTTATTTTATTTTATTTT